ATTATAGTCCTCGTGCTGTGCATTAGATCTCTAGACAAGTTCATCCTAAATACCTACTGCTTTGTATTCTGGAATCTTTTCTCTCCTTCCCCACCCCAAGCCCCTGGTAACCACTCTTTCTCTCTCTATCTCTCTCTGTCTCTCTCTCTCTCTCTCTCTCTTTCTCTCTCTCTCTGTGTGTGTATTTGACTTTTAAGTAAGATTGAGCAATATTTGTCTTTCTGTGTCTGGCTTATTTCACTTAGTATGAGACCTCCAGGCCCATCCGTGTTGTGGCAAAAGGCAGGATCTCCTTTTTTAAGGTGGAATGAGTGTGTGTGTGTGTGTGTGTGTGTGTGTGTGTGTGTGTGTGCAAGCGCATGTACGCCACATTTTCTTTACCCATTTATCCATCAATGGACACTTAGGTTGTTTCCATACCTTGGATTTTGTGAGGAATGCTGCACTGAGCATGGGAATACAGATACCTTCGTGAGCTGGCGATTTCATCTCCTATGCAGAAGAGGACTTCTGCGTCATGTAGTAGTTCTATTTTTAATTTCTTTAGGAACTTCCATACTATTTTTCATGGCCTTACCAATCAACACGATAGTGTGATTTCCTTTTCGCTACATCCTTGCCAACATTTGTTCTCTCTTTTGTCTTTGATAATAGTCATCCTAACAGGTTATCATTTCATAATGGTTTTAATTTGTATTCCCTGATGATTAGTGACGTTGCATACATTTCCATATCGCTGTTACAGTTTTTATGTCTTTGAAGAAATAATCTGTTCAGGTCCTTTGCCAATTTTTTAAATGGGGTGATTTGTCCTTCTGCTATTGAGTTGTAAGTATTCTTTATAAATTTTGGATATTAACCGTTTATCAGATACGTGGTTTGCAAATATTTTTTCGCAGTCCTTCGATTGCCCTTTCATTTTGTTGATTGTTTCGTTTGCTGTGTAGTTTTTTACTTTGATGTTGTCCGTTTATTTATTTGTGCTTTTGTAGCCTGAGCTTTTGGTGTCATATCCAAAAAATCATTGCCACAGCAGCGAGATTTTTCCCTGTATCTTCTTCTAGGAATTTGGTGGTTTCTGGTATTCCATTCAGGTGTTTTATCCATTTTGAGTTGATTTTTGTGGATGGTGTAAGATACGCGTCCAATTTAATTGTTTTGCATGTGGATATCCAGTATTTCCAGCACCATTATTGAAGAGACTGTTCTCTCTCCATTATGTCCTCTTGGTGCCCTTGTCAAATGTTGATTGACTATGTATGTTTAGATTTATTCCTGGGCCCTTTATCCTGTTCTGTGGATCTGCGTTTCTGTTTTTATGCCCTTACCATACTGTCAATACATACTTTCTATCATTTCTCCTTTTTCTTTGTGCTACATATACAGATCAGAGACTTAAAAATGGCTGTGCCCCATAGCCCAGGACCTTTTTACCTCTGGAAAGGAAGGGAAGGCAGTCGAGGTCAGGCACACAGGGGATCTTAAAGGTATATTGGTCATGTTCTGTGTCCCAACTAGGAGTGTTCATTCTTTATTATTCTTAAGGAGTCTTAGGGGAAAATGAACTCTATCCTGAAGAATAATCTGCAATGCATTTACATTAATGTACAATTTGTTATAGTATTGTTTATGATGTCAAAAAGATCAAAAACATTCTGGCTCTATGCTACTTAGTAGAGTGGTTAAATTATGATATTTTCATAGGATGGAACATTATACCCCATTGAAAATGCATAATTTTTAACTTGAGAAAATACTCATGGAACATTGTCAAAAGCAGGATTAAAAATCTATAGTATGATTCTACTTTTGCTTCAGATCTACATATGTACATTAAAAAAGACCAGGAAGCTATGCAAGTAATTTTTTAGAATTTGTCTTTATACTTGCCTATATTCCATTTTTGTGCAAGGAATATAGATTACATAATCAGAAAAAGGTTTAAATAGAGAGATAGCATTTGCTGACCAGTTAAATGGACAGGAATTGGCTCAGTAATTCAGACTAACAATCCACAAGCAAGGGGCTCTGATAGCATAGCAAACCAGATAACCCACAACACTCCAAATGAAGAAAAGGCGTTTATTCAGCTGTCATTTCTGCAGGCCAAAAAGTTTGAGAGCCTGGCCCTGGCTTCTGGTGAGAGTTTTTGTGCTGCGTCACATGGCAGAGAAGGTCAAAAAAGAGGGGGACACATGCGAAGAAGAAGGGGTGATCCTGGCTTCGTAACACCTCACTCTCAGGAGAACTTATTCATTCTGAGAACCAGTCCAGTCTTGGGAGAGCAGGAACTAACTCACTCACCACCGAGACAACAGCACCAACATCCCATTCATGAAAGATCCACCCCCAAACACAGAAACCTACCACGAGGCCTCATCTTCCAGTACAGCCACATTGGGGATCAAATTTCAACATTAGTTTTGATGATGACAGACCACATCCAAACTGTGGTACTGTTTCTTAGTCCATTCAGGCTGCTATAACAAAATGCCTTAGACTGGGTAATTTATGAAAAACAGAAATGTGTTGCTCATGGTTCTGGAGGCTAGGAAGTCCAGGATCAAGGTGTCTGTCAGCAGCTTTGGTGTCTGATGAGGACCTGCTCCCTGCTTCATAAATAACATCTTTTTGCAGCATCCTGTCATGCTGGAAGGGGCAATAACACTCCCCTGAGCCTCTTATAAGGGCATTAATCCCATTCACAAGGCCTCTGCCCTCATGACCTAGTCACCGTCCAAAGCCTCACCTGTAATACAATCCCTTTGGGGTTAAGTTTCAACATAGGAATTTGGGGTGGAGGGGCACGTACATTCAGATCATGCTACACTATAATTTAAAACTTAGAAACTTTGAGAAATAAAATGTTTTGTCTCTTTGTAAGAGACTTATCAAGTGGTTTAAACAGTGCTTGCCTTCTCGTTAATGTCCTTTACAGTCTAGAATGAGCATTTTCCTATGCCTTGCCAAGTGGTCAGTTATCTTTTCTGAGTAATTATGGGGTCATCATCATGAAATGTCTCCAAGAGTTCCTTTAATGCAAACTTTTTTGCCAGCCTAACTTCCTTCAGGAACTGCATACCTCCTCATTACATTCACTTTCACTAAAATCCTCTGGCTGCATATCCCAAGTTTTCTTCAGTGGCAGCAGTACAGTATCAACATTCCTGTGGCCAACTGTTTATTTGTTCTAGAACTGATTTACATTTGTGTCTAATTTTGCTTCCAGCATGACCACTTTTTGGGTTTTTGCTGCACGTTGATTTTGTTGGCCAGTTCCTCTCTTGTGACTATCGATTTTTGTAACATGTCCTACAAGTTTAACATTGGGAGATAAGGAGGCAGCATAACTACATGTTTGCTGTCTGGGAGTGAACTGCATAGCACAATGACCAGTCACCAGCTTTGAAAGGCTTGCTTAGTCACTGGGCATGGTGCATCCGTGTTTACATCGTAGACAAGAGCTGCCAGTGAAGTTTGTTCTCTTCAGTTACTCACAGTTCGTATTCCCATAGTAGTTAATAACTGAAATTTGAACCATGCTGTCGGGGGACTGATAATGTTTAACTAAGCCATAGTAACTGAAATTCATACAGCTCAGAACCATGCAATACAAGGACCACGCACATGCATGCACGTGCGCGCGCGCACACACACACACACACACACACACACACACACACACATATTTATTGTAGGCTTGTTTTTGTATATTTTTTCCCTTGCTATTATAAATTGTGTTTTTTCCTTCTTGCTAGCATTTATCTAGCATTTTAATATTGTTTCCATATAGGAAAGTTGTTGATCTGTATGGAATGTTAGGTTTGTGGCTTTGAGTGATTATTTGTAACAGTTTTTAATTTTTTTTTTTTTTTT